GAAGGAGGTGACAGAGTTGCTCAGAGGGGCCCAGCCTCCCGCCATGCTGTGGTCTCTCTAAAATCAGGCCACTTCTGCTGCTCAGTGCAGTAGGTGCGGAAGCAGTGCCACCTCGTCGCCTGTTTGTTGGTATCTTTGGAGTTGTCACCCTCTGGGCTGGTGGTCGTTTCTCTGGAGGAAGCCACCCTCCGGGTCCAGAACGTCCCAGCGCTGCAGTCTTCCTGCAGCTGTGTGCAGAAAGCTGCTCGTTTATTGTATTGTGGATCCTGCCTTTTAACCAAGACTCGTCATGTAGAAGGGGGTTGGCTTTTCTTTTTAAATCATTCTCTTATCCACAGACAATCCACATGGAGCCTCCTGGCACATGGTGACAACTTAGGAATTCAGCCTTTCCACATATTCTGTGATTCGGTAAAGTGTCTGTGTCACAGCGGTCGGTCCCTTCTGTAACTAAGGCGTACATTGCCAGCAACAACTGTGACCTTGACTGTGATGCTGGTGGTCACTTAGGACTCGTTTACTGAAGCCTGCTGGGGCTCTTCACTGCCGGGAAGAAGTTTCTGGACCCCCTTGGTCATATGTGACCCACAGTAAAAGCCTCAGCATGCACTCCACTGTGTGCCAATCTGTTTATGATACATTAGCGTGCCTTAATTTCCTACTCTGTGTAGAAAATGGAGCGTGTAAATAGACATTCTGCTGTTTCTTCCTGCCTCCCACTAGTTGGTCTGGAGCAGCCCTCGGCGTTCAGGATCCCATCGCTCCCTGGGGCTTCCCTGCCAAGCTCACCCTGCTCTTTCTGTTCACTGGGACCAGGGACTTTTATAAGGCTAGAAATGGGCTTCCCTGTAGCTGCCACTGAGCATGGCTCAGGAGTGACAGGTTTCCCTTCAGAAGATACATTTCCAAAAGAGTAACACATTCTTACTCCATTTTTCTGCTGGTTTCTAAGGCTCTGGGTTCACATCTTTCCTTTGCTCCTCCCCCCCGCCTGCAGGTTCTGCACAAGTACATCTGTTCATTTTGTCCTGGGTATCACTGAGGATTTACTTTGGAATAGCTAGAAGCTGGCTCAAGTTTACAGTGAATTAGTGAAAATTGAGGGATGCTGAAATTGTCTGTGCAAATATGAACTATATCTGGTAACATTTACACTATTGAGAAATCAGAATCCACACCACCTCTATCCATTTTTATTTCCCCATGAACACAACAGAAAACGGGTTTTTTTTAATGTACTGCTCAATGTCAGCTGTGGTGGCGCATGCCTATAATCCCAGCACTCGGAGGTTGAGTCAGGAGGATCAGTGCAAGTTCGAGGTCAGGCTGGGCTACAAAGTGAGTTCAAGGCCAGCCTGAACTGCATAGCAAAACCCTATCTTTTTTTTTTTTTTTTTTTTTTTTTTTCTTTTTGAGACAGGGTCTCCCTTGAGCTCACTTTATAGCCCAGGCTGGCCTTGAACTCGCAACGATCCTCCTGCCTCAGCCTCTCGAGTGCTGGGATTACAGGAATGCACCATCACACCTGGCTCGCAAAACCCTATCTCAAAAAACCAAAAACAAAGCAAACCAAAAATACACTGATCAAGAAGAATCTAGATCAAGTTGCATTTTAAAAATGCAGAAATATTTGATAAAGCCTGAAGGTACAGGGTTTTTTCACTTTTGTACTCAATTTGTTGTTTTTTTAGAAACAGTAAAATATTTTAAATAGCAATGTGAGATTTCTTAAAATAACAAAGGAGCTCATGAGATTATAATAACAAACCCATCTGCAGACTGTAAACAAAAACGGTACAGTACTTCAGCTGCCTGGAACCCTGGAGGAATTAACACAACTTTCAGGGAGTTGGGATTTGCTTGCCTTCTAGAAATATTTTGGATAAAAAAACTTTTATGAAAAAAAATTTTTTTTCTGTTCTTCCTTCCCACTCACAACAGATTTGTTTTGATGGCGACGTAGTCTTTCTTCTTCTTAGTTATCGTACTGTGTTTAAGCAGGTGATGTTTTCAGGGCCCTGGGAGCCCCGGGAGCCCTGCCCGGCCCCTCGCGAGTGGTCCCAGCACTCCGGTTTCTCATCTCATTCGGTCTTCCGAGAGGGTGAGAATACCAGAAACAAGTTCCAAGGGCACAGCTGTGAAATGAACAGGAGCCCGTGTCAGCTGCTCCTGGCAAACTGGAGTAGGAGCCTAGGCGTAGAACTGGGGAGGGTCAGAGGCAAGCAAGGAGAATTCAGAAGATGAGTGCATTTCATGAAAAGGGTGGGATATTTGGGTGGGTGTTGTAGTGATGGTCACTGGGTTTAAATGGTGGAACAGTCCCTGTCCCGTGGTCCCTAAGTATCCTGTAGGCAGTATGTCCCAGTACACAAGTGCTGCTGTGCACTGCTTATCTCTGCGTCCAGTGTGGCAAGCAAGGAAACCGCAATTCCCCACACAGCAGGTAAGTCTGGGTGGCAGTGTCTGTGCCTGCTGTTTGCAAGGCTAATTAAGGGATTCAGAGAACAGCGTCGCCACGTGCCCCCTGCCCTCTCAGCCCATCCAGTCAGGGAGTGCAGAATACTAAGCAAGAACCTTAGCTGTTGAAACTATACCAAGTAGAAGTGCCCCGCTCCGGGTGGCCTTATCAAACAAGGAAGTAAGGAAAGGCCTTGCGGAATACACCTGAACAAGAAGTTAGCATTTAGTAGGGATGGGAAAGGGCGGAAGCGGGAGCACTGTGGGCCTGGACAGAGGAAAGCTCCTGTGTGCAGGGAAGTAGAACCACCCACTACTCTGGGATACTCACTGGGGCGAGGCTGGTGTTGGTGGCTCAGGGTCCCTCACATTTCTGAAACTCTATAGGACCCCAGGGAGCTTCTGTTGATGAGTTTAGCTGCCAATATTGACCTTATTTAAACCAGAGAAAATATTTAACATGCACGTATTCGTTGAAAAAAGAGTTGAGACATGTACGTGCACCAACTCTCCACGAGGAGTAGGATCTGTTGTAGTGCACATGTGTACCAAAAAAATGTCAAAGACCATAAACCTATTGCACATTAACAGAAGTTAACCTTTTATGAAAATAGACATGTCTTCAAAAGCAGTAACAACTTTCCTGAGAAGAGTAACATGGTTTTATTGTTTGCACGTCTCTGGAGTGTCTGGCATAGGGGAGGTAGCCGGTCCTCCTGTCCAGCTGTGCATTCAATCTTTGGCCTTATGTCATTTGGTCAAGTGTAGAAGGAAGTGGTTGGGGAAGGGAGGAGAATTTTAATGGCCCTTCCAGGGAGTTGTGGATGTTTTCTTTGATGTTGCACCAAAACTTTGTAAATAATCAATTTCTTAAAGGAATCCGCAGTGTGGAATCTGAAACCAGATCAATGAGCTGTCTGTACATTTTATTCCATTAAAATCCAGTGGTCTGCCTTACAGTGTGAATGTCTCTTTGCCCTTGAATGATAGTCTAATGTCATTTATTAATCATGAGTGTACATTTTGCAAATCTTTGACACGTTTCAGTATGTGTATCAATAAATCACATGTCACCACTACTGACCTTGTCAGCCCAGTCAGGCTCACAGGGGCAGAGAGAAGCTGCCCAAACTTCCCACAATACTGGGCAGTCATACAGAACTTCATTTGAATCCAGCTTCCTTGTTTGCTGGCCCTACAGGGATCTTCTACACCTATTTATCTCTGTTGTCATACTACTGTCTGGCCCAGGTAAGAGCTGCCTAAATCATAGTCACTTTTATCACCACCACTTCTGTGTTGCTGCCATCATGAGCAGTTACCATGTGTGACTTGTGCTGATGGGAGACCAGAGCAAGCACTGAAGAGGTCACTCTCTGAGGTCGGTAAGAGTGGGTTCCGGTGCGCTGCAGACGGAGGCCAGAGTAGACGACCTCTTGTGCCAAGGTGTCTTGCTTACTTCTGTCTCGTTGCGGAGACAAAATACCCAACACCCAAAATTAAGGAAGGATAGGTTTCTTTAGCTCACAGTCTATGGAGGTTTCAGTCCATACTCGGCTGGCTCCAAGGCAGGGTGGCACACAGCACAGGGCAACCATTCAGGGCAGCAGAAAACAGCAAAAACAGCCAGAGCAAAAAGGAGTGGCTGCAAGCAGTCTCTTTGTCTCCCTTATATATGCAAACTATGCACCCCAGGGCGGTGTAGCACTCACACCCATAATCCCAGCATTAGACTGTGAATCAATCAGATATCTAGGAGCCCGCCCCATGTCTGCATGAGGATTTGGAGGGACACCCAGACACAAACCATAACACAAGAGCCAAGTCTGCCCTCTGAGCTTCCGCCTTGCCTGTCCTGCATCCCGCAGCCATCACATGCTGTCAGAGTGTTGTCTGCTGCAGTGGTGGTGAACCTCGGCACACGAGCCATACGTGGCTGTTTTTTATCACTGAAAGCTCTAAAAGATTCACCATCACTGCCCCATACCCTCATCCCACATCCAGACAGCGTCGCTGGCTTGTGCTTGCTGGTCACCCAGCACAGTGCGTAGTGTGTGATTGCTGGTGCCCAGGAAGTACGCGCTGGATGAATGCACTGAGAAGGAATGTATTTGGAGCTGCATTCTTGTTGTGGTTTGAAAGCGTGAAAAACAAATACTAACCCTGTAATCTGAGTAGTGCCTAGCTATTTTTTACTTTTCATTTAAGGCATGTTTGACCTCCTTCACCCCTATCCATCCCTCTTTCTTGAATTCTGTTAATTCAGAATAAACACGGAAGAGCCAAGGGTGATGGCACACACCTGTAATCCCAGCACTGGGGAGACAGAGCTAGGAGATGGAGAGTGCAAAGCCAGCCTTGGCAACTTAGCAAGACTTTGTCTCAAGTTTTTAAAAAGTTAACAAAGGCGGGGGATGTAGCTCAGTGCTCCGTGAGTTCAACCCGATTACTACAAGGTAAATAAGCAAAAACCACACTGAAGTGTTCCAGTGCCTCTGGTTAAGCATTTTGGCAATCAAAGCGCTTTGCTCTCTGACTTTCAGATGTTCCTCCTGCGGATCAAGAAAAGCTTTTTACCCAGAAGTTACGTCAGTGTTGTGTCCTCTTTGACTTTGTTTCTGACCCACTGAGTGACCTCAAGTGGAAGGAAGTGAAACGAGCTGCTTTAAGTGAAATGGTGGAGTACATCACCCATAACCGGAATGTGATCACAGAGCCTATTTACCCAGAAGTAGTCCACATGGTAAGTGTGCACCTGGGCCGCAGCAGGACTCAGTTCCTAGGACGGGCCTAGGCAACCGCCTTTCCCAGAAGTAGGCAGATCCCAGGAGCAATGAAAAGTGTTCCCTATAATGTGTCCTGGATGGCAGTTCTAACAGTGTGAGGGAGCAGTTGCCTTCTAGGGACCAGATAATACGAACCTTATGTGAACAAGCACCCTATGGATATGTGTTAGACTGTTTACTTGTAGTATTTATTTTATTCTCGTTAAATTTTCAGTGTTGGGTAAACATATGTAACAATACAGTGTGCCCTTATGCAGATGAGAACGCATGTGCGTTCATGTGCAAGAAAATTCTAGTGATGGGGACACAGTTAAAATACTGATGGGACCAAGCTGGTGTGAGCACAGGTCATGCTGATTGGCTGAGAGAGCGCCCATCTACTGGTGCTGGGCTCAGGGTGCTGCATCCGGTTGGCCACGAAAGTCTGTCATTTTGCAGTTAGTTAATTATGCGTTTCATTCAGCCCAAGTCTCAGTCCTTTGATGCCTCTACTGCAGCCCCGTTCCACGCCATTGTAACTTGCTTCATCCCGCTGTTACCTCAACTGTACCACCTGGGACATTCCTGTGCTGCTCTTACCGCAACTCTGATGGTTGGACACTAAGCTTCAGGGTTCTGTTCTCCGTTCTGTTTCATTCCGTTCCGTTCTGTTCTGTTCTGAGGAGGGGTGCTATCTGTCTTTGAAATCAGTTCCCCCTTGTTAGGGAGTTGTTGCAAATGCATTGATTTTCACTGAACTCTTCAGGTGCTGATTCCTTTCTCAAAGCTGTGCATTTCAGAACTGATTAGATATGGTGACATAAATTTACTTTAACATGTTTGCTTTGGAAAAAAGATGAAAACAGTTTCTTCTTTGCATTCAGACTTGGGTGTCAGAAGTTGTGATGAGCTTGATTGTTTTGAGTTATGAAAGTCTACAGCCGGGTGTGGCTGTACAGACTCCGAAGACTGGTGCTAGGTATGGCCAGTGCTGAGAGGAGATCCCCAAGACTCCCCTTGTGCACATTAAGGAAATTTCTTAATTTCCTTTCTTTCACCTTGGAAGGCCACCTCTTGGCCCAGATTTATAAAGAAAGTCTCCGTGTTTCTTTCCTGTGACATCCACAATTTTGTTCTGCACGTTACATCTTACAGTCCCCTTGGACTTTTCTTATGGTACAAGTCAGGGACATAACTTCATTTACTTTTAAATGATTGAAAAATCACTTCCCTCCATCATATATTGAATATTCTATTTCCCTCATTGATTTAAAAATGCTTCTGTATTATGTATTTTCTTTTTATAATTTCTTGATACATAATAAATTTATAAATATGTGAATTACAAGAATAGAAGATCTCTCTGGTTTTTTATTTTTGGATTTTTGGGGTTTTGTTTTTTGTGAGATAAGAGCTCACTGTGTAGTCCAGACTGGCCTCAAACTGAAGCAGTCCTCCTGCCTCAGCCTCCCAAGTGCTGGATTACAAGTGTGTGCCACCATGCCCAGCAGGATCTCTCTGTTGTTGAGGAGTCTTAGCAGCCAGCAGTCCCCTTCACATTCCTGACCCAAGAGGGGGAAGTATCTGCAAAGAGCAAGAAGGCTCCACGCAGCCTGGACCGGGTCAGAACCAGCCCTGCACCCAGCGTGCTCCTGGCTGCTGGACTCCGTCACCTTGGTGTGTGCGGCACCACAGCGTTGAACTGCCAGGACCAGTGAGAGACCGCAAGCTCTGCAGGCTTCTCCTTAATCCTTGCTCTCCTCCCTCCTAGCACTATTTCCTTCCTAACTAGACTCTCCTGCTCTTAGCTTTCTTCCTCTCCCCGAGATCGCCCAGCCCCCAGGTGTTGCACGCTGGCTCTCAGAATCATTGAGCAGATACTGCCCCACCCCGCCAGAGCTTTTCTTCTGCTTTGGGAGCCAAGCGTGAAATAGGCCAGCGGATGCTGTACCCTTAGAGTATGGTAACACTGTGAAGCAAGCAAGCAGGCCGGTAGCTAGAGGTGCAGACTCGGCCTGATCTAGTCCTCTGCCTGCGTGGGCAGAAACAAGGTCGAATCTGACCAGACCGTCCCGTGAGATGGTGCGTGGGAGTCAGACGCTCGGCCACTGTCACTGAGACACCGGGTGGAGCTTGGTTTTCTCTCCCTCTGCTGTGATGTGAGGTGGCATTCAGAAGGGAACACGGCCTGTCCCTCACGCCTCGTTCGTCTGGAGCTCTGAGGGCAGAATGGGCACAAGGACGGACTGGGTTTTTGCTGTATCCGTTGCTGTTGTGTCCTAGGCAGACAGCACTGATGAGAGAGCAGTGAAAGAAGACAGCGGACAGAGAGGGCACGGGATCAGGCGGTGCGTGCGTGCGTGCGTGCGTGCGTGGGGTGAGCAGCGCTGCCCACCTGCTGTGGCCTCGCAGGGACAGCGTGTGGCCTGCACGCAGTGTGACTGCTGCTCGCTCTTCCCTTTCAGTGCGTGTGTATATTTTGGTCATAGTATTTTTAGACATCAATTTCCAGTTACTCCGAAGAATCCAGAGCTCTAGCGGTGTTGTCTCCTAACCTTGCCACTTTTAAATATACTCTCTATAAGGTGGGACAGCTGTGTGGTTTGTAACGGATTTATTGAGATACTGTTTCCACCTCTTAAAATCTGTCCACTTACAGTGTGTGATTCAGTGGGGTTTATATGAATACAAGAGTGTCAGACATCACCGCCCGCGGTTTCAGAACGCTTTTATCCCCTGGGGAAGTCTCACGCTCACTAACGGTCCCTGCTCCCCCTTCGCCCCTGTCCAAGCAGCCCCTGGTCTGCTTGCTGTCTCCACACACCGCCTGTGCGGGACACTGTGGATACATGGAGTTTTTGTTCTTGCCGAGTAACTTTGTTAGCAGTGGTGTTCCTTTTTATTGAGAGTCCACACTTCATCTGCTCGTTTGTTGACGGACCCTCGGCTTGTTTCTGGATTTGGGCTGTTATGAGTAATGGTGTTGTGAATGTGCACATACAAGCTTTCGTGTGCGCGTTCTCCTTTCCCGTGGGTGTCAGAAGGCAGCTCCGTGTGTGGCAGCTGGAAATACACCCGGCCTTTTTAAGTGGCTGCACCATCTTCTACTTCCGTCAGGAGGATCTGGAGGTTCCAGGTCCCGTGTCCCGCCCTTACCTGTCCTTTGGATTTGAGCTGTCCCAGGTATGGAGCGCTCTCTCTGTGGTTTTGAGTTGTATTTTCCAGACATCTTTTCACTTGGGCTGTGCATTTTTTTACACCATAGACTTCAGCCCTAGCCTTGGTCAGAGCCGTGCTCTGGGTCACCTCGGATGGCCCTTTTCCTTCCCACATAAAGCAGCTTAGCTTCGGAGAGGCGCAGCTGAGAAAGAGCAGGGGCTGGGGCGTTCTCAGCCTTGAGGCTCTGGGGCAGGATTACGTCAGCACCAGCGTCTCTTCATTGCAGTCAGACGTTAAATATAACCACCATCTGTTTTTTTCAGTTGAATTATCTAGTTAATCTGCTTCTCAGGGATGGACGTTTTCTAATAGTCAGAGTACTGATCGCAAAGCCGAGCAGCAGTATACTTAAGAAACTCAGAGTGATAAAAGGAAAGCTGCACCTGCTAATTTGTACAGTTCGCCAGCTGACTGTGCTGGCTCACTGCGCAGAGCACCAGCAGCTCCGCTCACAACGTCACCCAGGAAACACTGTCACACCCCTGCCCGTTCCGGGGGCAAGGCCCGTGGGTGCCGCACGCAGGAGACAGTGCAGCCAGAGCCGTCCGCCCGCCCTCGCCTCTTGGGGATGGGGGCGCTTCGAGGACAGCAGAGAGCTCGTGCTGGGAGCGCCGCGCAGTCTGGGTTGGGGGCTGGGGATAGCGCTGTGCTGGGGCAGCGGGGCTGCTCCCTGGCTCTGGCTGCACTGGCGGCACGGGGTGCCAGGGGTTGTGCAGAGGAGGGCAGAGCTCGTTCGGGCTATGGGACACGGCGGGGGTGGGGAGAAACCAAGCGGCTGTGCTGGCGGAGAGAGAAGGGCACGTATGAGAGCTGTCACGGCGGAAGCCGGACTCCCTGATGGATCTGCCTTAGGGTGTTTGAGGAGAAGATCACTAACCAGATTTCTGACTTCAGCAAGTGGACTGGTGCCTCAGGAAGTGTGAGGACCCTGGTGTGAGAAAGGCCGGGTTTGGGTCATCACAGGTGGCAGGCACCCAGTTCACCGCTGCTGACGCTCGCTCCAAGGGGAATTCATCGGACAAACTCTAGGGTCGCTCTGACGCAGTCCGTAGACTCACTGTCCCCTGCTCTCGGTGCAGCTTTCACTCTCCTAGGACTGGCCCTGTTGCCTGTGCCCACAAATGGCCTGAGGCCCGAGTCCCCGGTATCCTCAACCTGTAGCACAGCTGGTGGGGGAGGGGTGATTGTGACGCCCCCAATCACAGGGTGGAGTTGCTGACAAGGACACCCCCGAGAAGGGAGGTGTGTGCTCTTCTAGGCCCGTGAAGCAGTCGCTCCCTGCTCAACTCGCCATCCTCTGACGGGTTGCTTTGGGCAGTGGCTTTGTTCTGCAAGCTTGGATTCTTGCAGTAGACAGAAGGCTGCAGCAGTCATCTGCCTTGCAGGACAGCAGAGGAAACGGGGAAACTAGACAGCCCCTGTGGTACAGCCCAAGTGTCCTGTCCTTTCAGTGACCTCAGCAGTGGACAAGAAAGTGACCACCCCATAGCTGGGATAATTGTGCTGCTGGTGTCGAATGGTTTATTGAAAGGAACAGTTAATGCGTAAATTCTTTTTTGACCAATTTTGCATGCTTGTATCTGGTCCTCTGAACAACTAGTTTGAAGACAACAATATGCAACGTAACAACCCTTGGTGAATTCCTACCATCCTGTTTAGTGAAGCTCTGTATCATTTCTAATTTTTTTACTATTTTTTATTCTCTTTAATTGTTTGATCAATCTTGCATTCTTACATCTGATAATCTGAGCAACTTCGT